AACCTTTAAGACTTGTATACACTTATGCCTACAATGGGACATTAACCTGTTAATAATTATTCTATTCATAAATTACAAACATCTCTTTCCACAAGTGGAATTAGAAATTTGTACTTCAATTATTTGAAAAAGAAAATTGAAATTCATTAATTTTGACTCAAAACAGCACTTAACACATCAAACCTTTAAGACTTGTATACACTTATGCCTACAATGGGACATTAACCTGTTAATAATTATTCTATTCATAAATTACAAACATCTCTTTCCACAAGTGGAATTAGAAATTTGTACTTCAATTATTTGAAAAAGAAAATTGAAATTCATTAATTTTGACTCAAAACAGCACAAAAACTATAAAAAAACTATACAAAAACTTTAAATCAAATCTACAAAGAAAGAAAATTGTCAAATGCTAACAGTAGAGTGAATTATAACAGAGGTAAAAATAAACCCAGCAGAGTCTTTATTCATTTTATCCCTTCTATAAAACTCCAGAAATTATTCAATGAAATTATAATAAACTTTTTGATACCTCCCAGAATGCCTGACACAAATAAATATTTACAAGTAGATAATCAAAAAGATAGATTGGGAAGGGGGTACTGGACACGGCAATTAAGAACACAGTATATATGAAGTCAGAGTTGCTGTCCAACCTTTGCTTATCTATTTCACATAACTCACTAAAGGAGTAAGCTGAATTCAGCTACCATTTTATCAGTACCAAACTTTTACATTTATTATCTAAAATAATTAAGTGGCAAAGCATTCAGTCCAGAAGCTGTCTTCACAGCTATTATAATGTGTCTAATGGCAGAGATATCATTAAACATCATTGGAAATATGTTTTCAACCCTGAAACCTAAAATGAGAACTTGGCATTTCATTTACTCAGTTAATAGGCAAATATCCATGGTCCATCACATATTCAACTAAGTGGATTCTAAAAAAAAGCTATTCTCATTAGTGAGAAAACAGTAATATATTTATTTTAGCCAATAAAACTGCTAACAATTTTAACAATGCAATTTATATTCTAAGCTAAATTTATATCATATAAACATTATATGAGAGATTCTATTTCCCTGAATATGGAGAGTTAGGTTTCTTCCTAAAAAGAAAATAAGTTTCAGACACGGCTTACAATATTAAGAAAAATAAACAAACATATACCTGTTTTTGTTTGTTTGTTTGTTTGTTTGTTTGTTTGAATAGAATGCATCCAACTTAAAGTATATTAAGTCCAGGTAAAGAAATTACTGGTTAGCTCTTCAGAATTTATGGGATGTCCAGTAATATCTTAGCCCTAACAGAGAGACCAGAAACTAAGTCTTTCCAAAGTACAGGAGGAAAGGCAAAAGGGAAAAGGCCTGGCATTTTATATTTCTTGCCTCATCAGCAAAATGAGATTGTGAGTAAAGCAAAATCAACCTGTTAAGTGACAAACAGAAAACAATGGAAAAGCTAGAGGTCAAAAAAATTAGGCAGAGGTCAGAAAATGTAATCAAAAGACACTCTTCTCGTGGGAGGAAAAGAAAAAACAAGGCAAAACAGGAGGTGGGGCTGGTGATGGGGAGATGACAGAGAGCAACTAGGCCAGAAATATAAAGGTAAAGGTTATTTAGGAGACTGAAGTAACAGACAATAGAACAGGGGCTTTATTTTTTTCCTTTTAATTCACAGAAATTCAGAGAATAAACACAAAATGTAATCACAGGCTTTGTTGGGAAGCAATCACCCAATAATCTGTAATTCTCATAGTAAAGAATGACTATATAGTATTTAAATTAAATTTTATCATGCCAAATATTATATAACAGGTAAGATCGACTCACCTGGAAGGCATAACTGCAATTTCTCTACTACAGTTGTAATATTTCTCTGCTGAATTCTACATCGAATAATATCTTCTGTTTGTACTATCACCTTATAAAATAAAACAATGTTCATCATTTTAAACAGTTAAATAGCATCTATATATTGAGTACAAACACACACACACACACACACACACACACACACACACACACATACACACACACACATCATTTTCTTACCTCTTTTCCAGCATCTTGAAACCTTCTGTTGGTATCAGTAACTTGCACCTTAAAAATAATTTCACCTTAAGTTAGACAAATATGCATAAAACTGCCCTGATGTAACTGCTCAACCTTGTAATCAGATCATGCTTCATGAGAAACTTAGAACAAAGAAATGCAAATTCAAATTAACTCTACAGCTTGAACTTGAACTTTTGATTGAAAAGGGCTTTTGTTAACTTCAATTAGTTATGACAGTTCTTTTTAACAGATTCTGTAGCAAACTTCTCAAATTTACTCAGGGTTTTTGAACTTTACTTGCTTTTCTAAGTCTCTCAAACAATTCAAATCACTGGCCCAATTTTTGATAACTTCAATGAGGTCTATGTGCCATTCATTGTCTGTAGGAAATGGTAATTGCATTTTATGGTAATTAAACATTCATACTTTGCTGAATGCAAACACTGGGTGGTTGATTAACATCAAATGCAGAAATCTCAATCCACAGCAACATTTTAATGCTGCAGGTGCAGGCAAAGCACCACTCAAATTTTCCCACATAGTAAGTCATCATAGTGGGGAAGCACATTCTAGTTTATTAAAAATCTCATTAATTTCTGAACAAAGATGCTCAATGACCTCATTGATGCTGTATTTGGTCTCTTATTATCTGAATATCATTTCTATAATATAATGGTTTTTCTAACCATAACCTTTGGATTCTGTCTGCTAAGTACTTTAAATGAAAAGACAAATAGGAAAATATTTACAATTAAATATTTTATATTCTGACTGAACAAATCCAGGTCTAACTTAATAAATTATATTTCTAGCGTATAGAACAACTTTCTTTAAGAAAACTACACACAGCTATTAATTTTTAAAATTTCAATATAGTTAAATAACAATAAAATCATTCATAGTAAATTTCTAATTATTTAATAGGATAGTTTTTAAAACAATATTATACTAATTGTCATTTTTTAAATTCTGAAACTGAAAATAGGACTTTCATTGTACGCAAGTTTTGAGCTCATTTCCTGCATGGAAAGAAATCCTATTAAGCAAAAGCATTATTTGCTTTAGGAAAAAGATTACTCGTGTCATTAGTATGACAATAATGTTATAGAGCACAAAGAACATTCTCAAGTACATATACTAATTTACTTCTTGAAGGAAGTTCACTTAATGACATATGTGCTACAGTATTGTATAATCTAATGAGAATAAAGGGAAACAAAATTTTAACATACTTCCTACCTTCAGTTTTTCTGCATCAGTCCTGACTTTAAGAAGTTCTGTAATAGCATCTACAAAACCCTGATGATGAAAATTACACATTTTTTCAATTTCCTTGTCATGATTGCGGATACAAGCATCTAACTTTTCCATAAACTTCTTGTGTGCGTTTGGTTGGTCATCATACACAGACCTGTATATATAAGAAAACTAAATTAACCTTTCAGTTCACCAAAAGTTTTTCTTCATTAAACTCAATCTTTTCAATGACTAGAGATTTTATCTCTGAATAAATTATTTGAAGTGTATTGCCTTTATAGAAGTGGTAGCAGGAATAAACTGGTTCCATAGTTAAGAGCAGTGGCTGCTCCTGATGAAGACCAGGTTCAGTTCCTAGCACCCACATGATGGCTAACAACCATCTCTAACTTTAGTTCCAGGGCATCCAACGACCTTTTTCTACCCTCTATGGGCACTGTATGCATGTGGTACACTTACATATATGCACATAAAATGATACATAAAATAAAATAATTTATGTGAAATACTTTATTTCTTTTTGAACATGTTAATGTTCAGAGAATCAGAAGTTCTCTAAAATATATTACTAGATATCCAGAAATAAAAATTTGAGCTCAGGAGATGTGGATCAAATATTAGTTTTTAACATACTAAAGCTCAAAATTGTACCAAAAGTGAATAATGACTAAGAAACAAATTTCTATAGCATTTACTGTGTGTCAGAATATATTCTAAGAGCCATATACCCAAATGAAACCCCAGTCATCAAGGCTTGAGTGAGCTTCACGATGACTATGGGAGAAGTACTAGCCACACAACACCACTGGGAAAAGACAACTGAAAGCTCATCTCTAGGCCTCTCTCCTTCACCCTGCTTATCATAAGCCTTTTCTGTTATTAATTATAGTGCATATTCTTTTGCTATAACAAGCAGGACTGAGTATAACATCTTTCATAGATTCTGTGAGTCATTCTCGCATATTTTTAAAGCTACAGGTGGTCCTGATGACTTCCTAAAGTGTACCTCCCCAACTATTGTCCATTGTTTGAGGTTCAGTACAAGTTCTACTTTTTCTACAAGGTCTTTGTCAATCATTTCTATGTCAAGTAATCTTTTCATCTGCAGGACAGGTAAAGTTAGAGTCTTTGATATGTATAGTTCTCTGAGATATACTAATATATTGTATTCATTGTATTATAACTTAAATCCCCCAAATACATCATAAGCCTCTTGAGCAAAGTTTCCATGCCTCAGTTTCTAATGAGTTAAGTACTACTAAGAGTAGAGATGATAGAGGACAGTAATTATTGGTCTTGGGGGCTGAAGAGATGGCTTGGCAGTTAGAAGCACTTGTTACTTGCAGAGGACCGGGGTTCAGTTTCCAGCATTCACACAGCAGCTAACAATCGCCCATAAATCCAGTTCCAGAAGTTCCTACACCCTCTTCTGGCCTCTGTGGGCATTGCATACATGTGGTACACTTACATGCATGCAAGCAAAACACTCATAAAATAAAAGTAATCAATCAAAATAATTTTTTAAAGAATCTGGGCTCTTTAAAGAGCTCATCTGAAATGAGACTCTGATCTTGGACATCTTCTTTTTAGGTATATATCCTTGATCTCCTCCTGACTTTAAAAATCTATAAACACACAAACATCTCCCAGGTGTACATTTCCATCCATAACCTCTCCTCAAGCTCATCTCTCTCTAAATGAAAATTTGACAAGCATTTACCTCCAGTATATTAAAAAATGAATTCTTAAACTTGTTCCCACAAACGTACTTTTCCCCATAATCTTTCTTAGCTCAGTAAACGCCATTTTTCTAGTTTCTCTGACAAAAATCCCTGAAACCATCCCTGTTTTTCTCTCCCACTTATCAGAAACAATTTAACTGAGGCACTCGTTCCAAAATGTCCAACATGTGGCCCAAGATAATAATAAACAATACACTTGTAAATAACAACATCATTCACAATGTCCAAAGGTGGGCATGGGCTGGTGAGATGGCTCAACAGGTAAAGGTGCCTGCACCAAGTCTGACAACTTGAGCTGGATCCCCTGAACAAATAGTGCAAGGACAAAACCAGTTCCTGTGATCTCCACTTGCATGCCATGGAGTGCATGCATGGGTGCACAAATCTCTCTCTCAAGAATTAGAAGTCAAGTTGTCAGGCTTGCTCAGCAAGTGCTTTTAGCCACTAAACCATATCTGCTTCTTTTTTTTATTTATTTATTTATTTAGTGTGTGTTACGGTGTATATGTAGTGCACACCTATGCCATAGTGTACATGTAGAGGTCAGAGAAGAACTTGTGAAAGTAAGTTCTCTCCTTCCACCATATAGGTTCCAGGGATTGAGCTCAGTTCATCAGGCTTTGCAGCAAGGGCCCTTACCCAACTCACCAATCCCTCTTTTTGTTTTTTAATTGTTAAAATCAAAGCCCTGGATTTAACCCTTGGCACCACAAAACAAACCAAGCGTCAAACTTTAAATTAACATTCCCCCAAATGAAATACCTAGATATATATGTTTTAAAATGCCCAAAACTGATGAAAAATATCAAACAACTAAACATACAAAGAAATATTTCATGTTTATGAATAAGAAGTCAATATTGTAACAATGTCAGTTCTTCCCAACTTGATCTATAAACTCAGTGCAATCCAGTCAAATTTCCATCAAGTTATTTTACAGGTATCAACTAAATGATCCCTAAGTTTATAGAAAGAGGCAAAGACCCAGAATAGCTGACAAAAGGTTAAAGAGTAGCAAAGCTGGGATACTTAAAACCCAACTCAAGCTTTACTCTAAAGTTATAGTACTCAAGACAAATGGATTGATGGAACAATAGCCATTCTAGAAAAGGTTCACCTTAATATAGTCAATTGTATTTTCCCAATGCTAGGATTGAGCCCAGGGCCTCCCCTACGCTAGGCAAGCACTCTACCACTGAGGTATACCCCCCACCCTAAGTCAACTGAATTATAGCAAAAGACCAAAGCAAACATAGCACAATGGAGAAAAGACAGTCTTCAACAAATGCTGTTCGAACAACTAGAAAGAGATAATTTGGAGAGATGGTGGCAGAAGGATATAGAGAAAAATAGAAATATGCTTTCCCAGTGAACAGTGCCCACAGTAACTTAACACCCACAGAAAGGAGTTAGGAGTGCTGCTTATGACTTCATGATGCTGGTGATAAAATAACAATAACAACCAAGTATACTGCATATTCAGTGCTTTGTGTGCAACATCTCATTAAATATTCACTATACCGCTAACATAGATTCTGTTAGCAGTTTAGTTTACAAATGTGATTTGAGAAGATTAAGACCTAAGCTCAAAGTCACACTTAAAAAAACAAAGCCAAGATTTAATTCCAAGTCTACCTGATTTGGTGTTCTTAATTATGTCATATAGACTTTCCAGTCAGCCATAGTGACAAGCACCATGGAATGTAGAGAGGAAGAATGCAGAGCAACCAAACACATTACCTTTGAAGACCAACAATTGAGAATGACTCAGTAGGGAATCCTTGATGTGCACTGTTGCACCCATCAGGTAAAATCAACCAACGGACAGAAAAAAAAGGATGGGAACTGAGGCATAGCTAATTGTTAGGCAGAATTCAGTCACAAATGCAACAAAATGAGTAGCAAAACATGAAGCAGAGAAAACTGTGCCCACCCCACCCCAGACTTGTCTGAGCTCAGTTGAAGTTACTCTGAAAAACCTACTTTATTTTTTGTCTTTGAATAATCATCATTATTCTTTGAAATTTTAATTTGCAGTGCAGGAAAGAAAACACCATTCAGCATTAATTACTCTTTGAACCCAAAGCTGTTTAAATATATTAGCTTAATATGTCAGATATATTACCATCCTGAAATTTCTAGCAATATGCAGTTTTAATGAAACTATTTTTTTCTTTTAAGATATTCCCCCAAGATTAATATCTACTGGCAATCTAATAAAGTTCCTATAAACAAACACTTATTTATTAGTATGCTAGAAATAGGCCTTTGGAATTTAAACAAGTAAATTATCTTTCATAGATGCCTTTTAGAATTGTGAACACAGGACTCCACCTAGTGGCAATAAATATAAGAAAATAGATGCTAAAATTTGTTAAGTAAAAATTAACACTTGTACCATCAAATGTCTTCAGATGAACGAGACTACAATTTTTTGATAGATGATACATTATGTAAACAAAGTAATTTAGTAATATTTCACAATTTTATTTTGGTAAAGAAAAGTTCTATTTACAAAGAAAAATTTAAAATATTCACAAGGAATTTTAAAAAGGACTCTCATTCTCATTACTAGTCAGAGGCTTTTGTTTATTTTCTTGACCAAAAAGCACATATCCGGAGGCTGGAGAGATTGCTCAGTGGTTAAGAGCACTGACCACTCTTGCAGAGGACCCGGGTTCAATTCCCAGCACCCACTTGGCGGCTACGAACCGTCCTTAACTCCAGTTCCAGGGGTATCAAAGCCCTCTTCTGACTTCCGCAGCACTGCACAACATGGGTGCACTCACATACATGCAGGCATTACACTTATACACATAAAATAAAAATAATAAAATATTTTTAATATGCACTGGTGCCCAAGACATAATTCTTATGAAAATAACACTTACATTTTAAGAAAAGTTGATGTAATCTCAAAGTATAAACCTAAATTTCACAAATTACCTATATTTACTGGAATGCTATACTTTCTTTTTCAAATAAAATAAATATGACCTTCCTCTGTCCCCAGCTGCTCATTCTCTAATAGGGGATACAAGTCGCATATCTGGTGCAGGCCTACATCTGCATGGTGTTACGATGTGGAAAGATACTATAGTGGCTGCCATAAAATGCTAGTTACTGGTTGATAGTCCTATGGATTTTGTTAAAACTCAACTACCTTCAAGAAAAAAAAAAAAAAAAAAAAGACTAGCAAGGCAAAGGATTTCTAATACCAGAAAACTGGAAGAAATACTTTTCAGGAATCTCTGGACACTAATGACACTGCTTTTACCTTTTAGTGTCACATCTTTCTACAAACCTTTTTAAGAAAACAAAATTTTGTTACTATCTCTGAGAAAATTGTATCAGCTACCACTGACATCCTGTAGAGACTTGTAATGTTGTTTTCTATCTTTTCAAACATTAA